TGAAACATCAGACTAACTTCTCCAATTGTAGACGGCACCACAACGCCATCTCGCGATCATGGCACCGGGCTACAGCTACTTACGCGAAAGCCTACGTCAATTTCAAAGCCGTGATGTCTTGCTCTTGCTTCTCTTCCGCTGCATCTCATCATCAGATCCATGGCTACCTGGGTATTGACCAACGAAGTTCGCTTAACAAGCTCACCACGACGGACTTCAGCGGTCTAGTACAAAATGCATATGGCCTAAACGGATGATCACTCAAATCTTCCCTGAAAGCAACACCATCTCCATCTCCATCCCCTATTCCGGTCAAATATGCCGGCGTTGAACGGTATCTCCCAAGATTGTTATGAACCAACTTTTGATTTCGATTGCAAGAATGTCTCTTCGGAGATCTTCCCAAAATCCTTCAGAGTGTCTCGACGAACAATCTTTGGCCTTTATCTACCTATCTGGGTATACCAGATGGACCACTGAGCACATGTAAGACTTACCCTGCCCCTATTTCCTGACAGGCAAACGCCTATACTACCACCTGCTGCCTAACCTCCCACCTCTATTTTCTCGTCGCCTTTTCTGCAGTCATTTTATCTTCCCCCATCTCCCACACCTGCACCTACACCGCATTTTCAATCAAACAACTTGACTGTTGAATCTCGACTATATGACTGACATCATTTCTGTTTCCAGGGACCGATTCGCGCCATTGCCTCGCTATAGAACGATACGGGATGCGTTTCTGTCGGAGTATCCCAGATAAGATGTGGCCACAGTTATCTCGCTTTCACGACAAATTCCTACTTCCCGCCATCTAATCGCCTCCCTACTCACCTACCCAAGTAGGTAGGTCCTCAGTGTCAAGCACTTTCCTGGTAGTTAATCACGGACCAATACAAGACCCGGTTTTCCCTTAGTCATTATGGAGAAATATCTCCCAATAAGAACTTTCTGACGCTGTATCTACTGGGACACATACTTCGTCAACATGCATCAGCCGCTGCACCCTTTGGAACCAAAAATCGACAAATATTTCGACAGAAACTTGATTCACCATGAAGAAACGCACAGGACCAATTTCCCCGAGTATTCCTACTTGGGCAGGGCTTTGGTACAAACCTCTCGGCTGCCTGGAATTATTGAGAGGGTACACTAAACATATCTTTGTGGCCATTGATATCCGTTGCGACGAGAATGAAAAAGACTTCTCGGCCGCTGATCGCGTGATCAACACATGTGGTCCTACAGCATCTATCCTGTCCTGCATCTACGTGGCGTGTCTGCCAACGTAAGCAGTCGCTCTGATCGTTATAATCACTCATGATAGCAGGGTATCTTTACTGGTATGACTACCACGGCGCCCTCGTACCACCAGTGACCGTCGCAGTATCCCTCCGCCGCGAACAAGTTCAACGGGATCTGGCATAGAAATTGCTCTAAGCTGCCATGGTATGGTGCCAAAGGAAGATGAGGACGCTTGCGAGATGGAAGATGGGTGGCCGCTCTCCCCGGCCACAGCGACAGCGAGATGAGAGTTGAGGAGTTACTGTCGCCACTCTCCAGTTCTTCCTCGGCCCTCCCCCCGCTACGAGCAAAGATATATCGCCACTTTCATCATGCACGGGATCCCGCTGGCTGTCTATCCTCGTGACCTCAGAAAGGCCTACTTTCCAGAGCCGATTTCCCAGATGAAGTTCGGCAAGAAATTCTTCGGAGGTGACAACAATGCTTCGCCGGACGCTGACGACAGCGACTGAACCCACACCGACACTTCCGACACGGTTCAATGGTTGCGCTATTACGAAACGAACTCGCCTCCTACTATACTCCATTTCTGTATCGTCACATATGGCACGGGATTCCGACTAACTCACATGGCCGCCCCAGTCACCAACCCTATAGGGAATAGAGTTCAAACCTCCGAGAAATGATATCCTTGCCTCTATGGCAAGAGATCTCACTGCTCGCATCGTTACGGGGCTCGAGACCATTGCAAACACCAAGTGTCGACCTTCACTTCCGCCGGCTGTGGTGCCCCTCTGAACCCCGCCGAAGCATGTCTGTCGCATTTGTTCTCCCTTCTAAACGTCGCAGAAACCTGTCTGCCGCTTGCTACAACCCTTCCAAACGCCATAAAATGAAACCGCCAAAGATGTCAGACGGAAAACTCGGAGCCGGAAAGCTACTGCTTTATAAATTGGTGCCCCTGCTTGAGTCGCCAAAAACTCGAAAGAAAGGACAATTCTTTTTCGAATAGCCATGACTTTTTGCACTATTCATTATGTTACACGACAATACAGCCTTCCTCCTCACTCGTTCGATCGGAAAACATCATCATGGATCCCTTTCCCGACTCCATCGTATTCACAAGTACAAGAACGTGACACATTCCGTCGTCAACATGTCCAACCCAGGCTATTATCATTATCTACAGTCTCTTGGATCGTTGGCCATCCTACCTCCCGACTACTTGGACATTTTCTGCCTTAAAATCATCTTTCTTACTGCTCGGCGGATTCGTTGCCGATCTCTCAGAACCCTTCACGAATCACGAATCGGGGGACTTTTCCTCAGACGTTCCCCTCCTCTCACCAAACAAGGTTCTTGCTTGGGCGAAAAGTACAAAACTCTTCGCGGACCTCAAGCATACCTGCGAATCGTCTGACATAGACACAGCCCCTCAATATTTCGGTCATATTATGGCAATTGGCGGATCTGCGAATATTATCACCACTCGCCAGACGACACACCGGATCTTCTCTCCGACGTATCTGCCAACATATGTGCGACATTGAAGAAGCTTCGGGTTCTCAAAATCGCCCTTTTGAATCGAGCCGGAATGCTCACCACGTCAATCGTGTGAGTTGTGATCCAGAACATTCGCGATATCGCAGACTCGAAAAACGTCCATGCACGCACTAGATCAACACATTGGTGCAATCCTGGCTGAGTCCTCAACTGAAGGTGGACGAGGTCAGTATCGGTGGCGAGCATGCACTTCAAAACCTTTGGCTCAGCGAAACAACCTATTCGAGTCCCGCTTTCAATCAATGCCGAGACTGAATAAAAGTCGGAGGATATTATGGCTCTTGCTCAAGGACTGGACAAGGTCACTAATAGGGCCGTAAATGGTGTGGGTGCGTATATTCTCTAATCTCACCGACCTGGTAGCGCTCTGCTAATGCTATCAGACTTCGACTGGGGATATCCCGGCGATGAAGATTGCGGCGGTTTCGATGTCGAGAGTAGGAACTTCACAGCACTGGTTGAGGAACTGCGCGCTGCTATCAAAGCGAGTGGGCGACAATGATTGCCTCGTCACTTTCACTGCATCTTCGCTACTTTGATATCAAAAACATAGAAGCCCATGTCGATAGGATCGTCCTATGGCCTTCGACCTTCACGATGCTTGGGATAGCACAAGCATTTTTGTCCAACAACACAACTTACCTATTCTGGGCTCAAACTCATCAGAATGAGCAGAGGTTCACATATTGAACTTTTCTCTCCTGTCAGCTCCATAACCCCCTGAAACCCTTCAAGCATGACAATTGCCTGCTCACTACCCATTGGCGTTCCACTTCATTCCTGTCAACCAAATCAACAGAGCTGGCAGCTCGATTGGTCTCCCGCATGAGACGTCGCATAGATTGCATCACCGTGCCTGACTTCCTCCATTTATTTCAAGGAATTCATGCTTTGCAAACAAAAGCATGATTATCAACCGGGGCCGGGCCTGGAGACAACTCAGCCCGGTGTGCTTCCCGACAACCAACACCGTCGTCAAACCTTCCGGTACCGTAACCACCCGAATCAGAGACACTGCAGCAGTAGCAGTAGCTGTAGCACAATGGAGCAACAGACGCCGACGCCTTCAACTGGCAGTTCGAACAAGTAGACAACTCCCAGAAAGACACTGCCCGTTGGTTCAGGAGTGTGCTGAAAGACGTCGCAAGAGAGGAGGGTTTCGGCAGAGTCACAGTCGAGTTTTCCCAAAGTACACACGGGTAGGTAATACGGAGCTACTAGAGAAAAGCAGCACGCATGAGACTGTAAACATACCCTTGACAGATGGCCGACCGACCAAGATGTACAGGACTGCCCAGTACCTTTACACAGTCCGATATCCGCAGCAGACGAATGAACCCTCTGATGGACAACAACCAGAGAATGATGCAAATCCATTCCTTCACTAGCACCATGCCGTAATTGAAAGAGACAAGATAAGCTCTGTCTTCGAAGGCGTGGCTATTATTTACGGTCCAACCCATGTATTAAAATACACTCGGCTCATCGTTTCTTTCTTTCTACAAATGTTCCACTCCCATTATTGTTGCGGCAATAATGCCAATGGTCGCGTATAGTACGGTAGTTGGCTCGTGGGCGGGCGTCGCAGAGGCGCTGTTGTCCGAACTATTTGAACACACTGTATCTTTTCATCTCCTTAAGGGCACGGCGTGTGAGAAAATAAATAAAACGTTTGATCAACTAAGCCTTGAATCATATCCTGCTTAATCACGTAATAACCATAGATTAAACTAATAGAGAATGTTTCGTTGGTTCAAAGACATAGTCCCGCGTAGAGCCTTCTGAGTTATATTGAGGTAGGTCAATATATGTCACAGGTATTGCAACCATGGTGTGAGGGGGAACCACTGTCGTGGACAATGCCACTGCCCCAGTTACCGTTGATTTAGCATTTTTGAGGTTGTGTTGTAAGGCCGGGATAACGTCTACCCATGTTGACAACATCCCCGACGCAATATGATATCGCATAGTAATCTCAACATCCTGGTTTCGCCTTTCACTAAGGCCATCCGCAATCTTGCTACATTGGAAATGTATATCGGCATGGTCGGATTCCTGAGAAAATTCATTTCGTGGTGTCAGCAGAAGCTCACCTACCAAACCCCAGGACAGACAACGACAACACCGCCTTATAGCAACTTCCTAGCAAAAGAAACACACACTCGAGGTCGGCTTCCTCCTCACTCATGCAGAAACACGTGGTGTAATGGCAACACCCCCTGGTCTCTATCTCTGCCTATGTAGGCACCTAACGAAAAGAACCAAGGAGATGTAGGTTCGAATCCTGCCGTGCTTTGACTTTTTTTCCTCCCACTACCTCCCAACCTGGTACTCTATGAACAGTATATTTTACTGAAAGATGGTTATTTGTTTATTTGTATTTAGTCTATGGAGCATCTCGAATATGAGCTGAAAGCTTGCATGCATATCGCCGTCTATATCTAGGTATTTGTTTGTCAGCTTCCACTTTATCCTAGATGTCTTCCACATGGCAAGAGTTCCTACCTACCTACCTAGATATCTAGATATCAAGCCCTCGCAACCTCCACAAACCCTTTCCCATCCAACTCCCCCGCATCCCCGTCCGGCACAAGCGGCGTCTCCATGCCTCCTTCGGCCCTCGCCCCCGTGACCGCCAGCCCCGCCATCTCGGCGGGATCGCCACCATTGCCGTACTTCTCCCACCCCGGTGGATTCATCCTGTCATCGCCTCCTTGGCTCTTGAAATTGTAGCCTCTGGCACGCGGCCTCGTGCCGGTGCCTTTCGGGAACTCTGAGTCGTACATCCTGTTGAAGCGATCGCAGTCTTCTTCAAAAGTGGAGGCAGAGGTGGAGGAGGAAGCGTTCAAGGAGGCGCGGATGCCGGCGAAGAAAGCGGAGATGATGTGGTGGTTGTGCAGCTGCAGGAGCGTCCACCCGAGCATCTCTTTCGCGTTGAGGAGGTGGTGGATGAAGGCGCGGTGGTGCGAGGTGCAGGCGTAGCATGGGCAGCCTGGGACGAGGGGGGAGACGGCGACGGCGTGGGAGGGCGACCACATGTCTATTCCGAGGGGGAGGATGGAGGAGGAAACAGAGGAAGGGGGAGGAGGAAAGGTGAAAGATAGCGCTATGCCGGCGTCGGAGATGCTGTTGAGAAACGAGACTGTGAAGACGTCGATGCCGAGGTGGACTTGGCGCAGGATCTCCTGGGGCGTGGTGGTGTAGTGGAGGGAGAGGCGGGGCAGGGAGATCAAGAGACGGTGGTTCTCCAGCTCGGGGAGGACGTCGACGTCGTAGACTGCGAGGCCGGAGAGTTTGCTCGCGTGGTCTTGCTCGAGGCGGTTGAAGTAGTCCCATTGTGTGGCGTAGGATACAGGGAGGAGGGGCGCGAATACGGCAGGGTCGGCATTTTCTTGGCCTTTGCTTTGGCCATTTGCTGCTGCTGCCTTGTCATCGCCATCTACTGATACCGATGCGCTGCCCTCTAGAAACTGGGCTAGCCAGTCCTCTGTGCGCTCCACCATGCGCAAATGTCGCTTTGAGCTGTTCACGTTGACCCTGCGCTTCGAACTGGCGGCAATCGAGGTGTCGCAATATGTCATGTCCCCTATGGGGATGACGACGTCTGGCTTGGTGGCTTTGACGATGCCGAGGTAGGCCTCGTTGGTCAGCATCTGGAAGCCGGTTGATGTGTAGATGGAGATGGCCTCCTTGCTGTTGCCCAGGGGGGAGTTGATGGCGGGGTGGCGCCGGGCGGCTAGGACGGTGACCATGTGCGAGGGTGTTGCGGTGAAGGCATGCAGCGGGTTGACGTCTCCCGACTTGATCTCCAGCAACGGGGGGACTTTCTTTTTCCGAGTTGTGTCCAGGACTATGAGGCAGGCTTATGTTAGTCGAGGTCAGATCAGGGGTAAGACCCATCTTAAGACTTGAGTCGCACAGCTTGATGAGACTTGATGGATGAGATGAGACGAGTGTCAAGCTTGTCACATACAATCTTCGAGAGCGATGTAGACACCGCCCAGATCGGACTTGTTGGTGACATTGTCCGGGGTTACATGAGGCACGACACCGCGGGCGGTGATGCCAATGAAGCCGGGGGTGTCGATGGGGCGCCGACCTGGCAAGGACAAGGTGCCTACGCGAGGGCCGACGGCATCGCCCACTGCACCCCTGAGGATCTTGAACATGGCCGCCCCGTCCGGCCCAGGGTTCACCATCTTTTTGTATTTCTCAAGCTCTCACCAGATGTTGAGCTATCCAATCGTGACTGAGGCGAGGTGGTACGGTGGACCTAGGCGTTGGACTAGATGCCTAAACAGGTAAGAGAGTGCTCGCTCGCAGTTGGTTGTTCTCTATTTAAAATGCAACTTGGAACGTTGGGACTTGGATGGATTTTGAGCGATGGAAGGGAAAGGCACTAAAAACGACAAATTATAGAAGATTTTTTTGAGGGGTTGATGCCATGCGCAGGTATAGATCGTTCTATCATTAGTATATTCTTTCTATGCTGATGTGCTTGATGCATGATGTTTCCGTGGTCTACTTAGTTGGAGGGTAGCCGAGCAGCCCGTCACACCAGGCTTACACGGCAGCTGGCACCTGGCGGTGTTTATCGGTGATAAGATCAGATCGACGTCCACCCGGGGGGGGGGAGAATGCCCTCCCCTCCCGAGCTCGTACAGATCAGGCACTCCAATCAGCTGTAGGTCGGCGGCGCCAGATCTCTGGAGGGACCCGCACGCCCGCCCCATCTAGACGCAGGCGGCCCGCTAAGAAACGCCCGAGAGATACATATGTACCTAGGTACCTAGCTCCGCAGGCTCGCCCACGTTGTCGGGTCTTGGCCTTTTCTCTCTCGTACTCGACTTCGATCCATCCATCCTCCGAGCCAAACCCTTCCTGTCACAGAAGGCTGAGCAGGCTCTCGGCCTAAACACCATCGCATGCCGCAGATTACATTGTCCAACATTGTTTTTAGACGTCCAATTGGTTTTCTCGGCTTTTGATACCATCGCATACATTGCACATAAAGCACACAGCCATTACATACATGTACATGCCCATCATTGCCATATTTTGCATAGTGCCGGCGTGAGATTTGTATTGTCTATTTCTGGTCAAGCTGTGAGATTTGTATACCCCATTGCTTCGACGAATCCTGTCATCCATCGAGCCTGATACCCAACATTCACACATCGCCCATGTCTTCCTTCATACGTGAAATATAGCATCATTACCGTCAAGCGAGCATAGACAGTCGATGATCCCGCCACTCCCGCCCAGCTTGACCGCCGCCGAGCGTGCCTCTCAGCCATGAGTAACAACACCAACACCAACACCGCCAACAACCGCCGCTCCGCCTCCCTCTCCAGCACCTCCAGCTCGCCCGATCTCGAGCATCAGCAGCGGCGTCCCTTAAACCCCAACTCGCAGACCACTGGCCGTGGTGTCGACACCCCCGCCGATTCCGACACATCCGACAACAACACCGACAACTCGCAATACCCGCTCGCCCCGCGCTTTGTGAACCACCAGACGACCGACAAGCGGTGGAAATGGGTGCCCTACCCCGCCCAAAAGGTCATCAGAACCGTCGTGCGCTGGACCCGAGGGCCCGCGACCCCGAGGATATGGAAGATCAACCCTTTCTTCCCCGCGATACAGCATGCGCCGACGAAGCTGGTGGCTCGGATCCTGCCCAACAGGACGCATCGCATGTGGCTCTTCTTCGCCTACTTCGCCGCCTGGATTCTTACCTTCGCGCTGGTCTTCTGGCGCAGTCAAACCGCTGCTGCGATCGAGGGCTGGGGCGAGCCTGCTGATATAAGTTGTGGTGTGACGTATTGGAGCAAGAATAACGGGTGCGGCATCGATGGCGTGGATTGCAGGCCCTTCACCAACTCGAGCTTTGCCTTCCGATGCCCCGCGAGCTGCGCAAGTTATCGCGTCCTGAACCCTAGAGCGGTGGGGGATCAGGAAATTGCCTATGCGCCGTTGATCGTCGGCGGGCCGCCCGACCCCAAGAATGAGCTGGACCCAATCTATCGAGGGGATTCCTTCATCTGCGGCGCGGCAATCCATGCAGGCCTCATCTCCTCCTCCTCGGGCGGCTGCGGCGTCGTCTCGCTGATCGGCGAGCAGAAGAATTACATTGCGTCGGCCCGCCACGGCATCCAGAGCTTCGCCTTCGACTCGTACTTCCCCTTGTCCTTCACCTTCCTGCCCGGCATCACGTGCGAAGCCAAGGACTCGCGCTGGGATCTGCTGGCGATATCGGTCGTGTTCACGGCCGTGCTGGGCATCTTTACCGCCTCCTCGGCCGCCTTCTTCTTCGGCACCTTCATCATCGCCTTCTGGCAAGTCGGCCTCGCCTCCGACCCCCCGCTCAGCGGCGCCGCCTTCCCCTCCTTGTTCTCCAACGTCCTGGGCAAGTTCCTGCCCGCCATGTTCTGCGCCTGGGTCTTCTACGACAAGATGGGCGTCCGCCGCACCCTGCGCGGCCTCACGGCGCAGTTCGAAAAGGCCATCCTCTGGCTCGGCGGCCTGTGGGTCGGCGCGCTGACCAACTACACCTTCGACTTCATCCCCATTTCGCGACTCACAGGCCACGACCTGGCGCAGCAGCCCGGCGCCAAGGCCGCCTTGTCCATCATCGTCATCGTGCTCGTCGTCATCGTGGTGGGGCAGATCTGGGCCTTCCAGCAGGAGGGGCGGCTGCTGCGCTACCTGAAGCTCTACGCCCTGTTCATCGTGGCGATTTTAATCTCGCTGGCTCTGCCGAACCTGAGCCTGCGCATCCACCATTACATCATCGCCCTCCTGCTCCTCCCCGGCACCAGCATACAGACGCGCCTGTCGCTGCTGTATCAGGGGATCCTGGTGGGCTTCTTCGCCAACGGCATTGCGCGGTGGGGCTTCGATCCCTTCCTGCAGACGAGCGGCGCGCTGCAGGGCGATGCGCAGCTGGGGTCGGCGCTGCCGGAGTTACTCTCGCCCATTATCAATACCACGGCTACGGCGCTTGCGGCGGCGAGTATTGCGTTCCGCTGGAAGACGCCGCCGAGCCTGCGGTATGACGGGGTTAGTGTCCTCGTCAACGACGTGGAGCGGTACAGGGGGTTCTTCGGCGATAAGGGGGCGGATGAGTTTGTCTGGACTAGGGATGAAGGGGGAGAGGGAGAGGGGGAGGGTTTGGCGATTAATGAGTATTTCCGCTTTGCGTATGTGCAGGGCACGGGCGTCGCGGACTATACGCGGGCCGGGATCTGGAATACGGAGAGGAAGTGGGTTGAGATGGCGCCGGGGCCGTCGAGA